CAGGTGACAGATAGCCAAATGACTTTGATCATCTCAGGAAAGACAGGTGGGTGGACCATGTGGGGTCTTAAGTCATGTACTTTTCTTTCCTCTCCTCTAGTCACACAAGCTAGTCACACAGACTTTGGGACAACAGGCACAGGCAATGCCTTAGTGGCTATACCCCAAGAGCCTGGAAGAGACTCAATTTTCAGAGCTGCCAACCCTCATCAAAGCACCCAACAGTATTGGCCATAATCCAGACCTCCACAGACAAAGTAGAAGACAAGATAAGACAAGGGGCATGTGATCACAGGATTTTCTCTTATACACTGATGGGGGATAACACCAGGATTATATAGCAGCCATTCATTAAACATTTGCTTGATTTGAGTAAACAAAATTAAAAGTATGCCATTCATCAAGTCTTCACTATAGGTCAGGCACTGTGGTGGGTGATTACATGTGCATTATTTTATTTAAGCATAAAATAATCCAATAAGGTTGGCAGAATTGCTATCCTTATTTTACAAATGAAGAAATTGAGGATCTGGAAGTTGTCAAAACCTATCTAAATTTGTATAGCTAGAGAATGGCAAGTGTGTTTCCAGAGCCTGTGCTCTTCTCTGTGGATTTTCCATAGGGAGGCATGAAAACCCCCAAAAAGCAGAATGCGTCAAAACAGAGCTACCCTCTCTGAACTCCTAATGTCAGTGCATGTGCGCTCTACAGAGTAGCAGTTTAGGAGGAGTTCACAGCACAAACAACAACATAAGAAAAAAATGTTCTCTTAAAAATTACTCATATTACAAAGGGATAATCTAATATATAAATCTGTGTATCCATATAACAAGGACTAACAAATCAGCAGACAAAATGAACAAAGGATATGAACAGAGATCACAATAAATATATACAAATATGAAAAGATGTTCACTCTCACTAATTAAAGAAATGCAAACATTGATTAAAGAAGTGGCTATATTAATATTGTCAGATAAAGTAGACTTCAGAGCAAAGGAAATTACCAGAGACAGGGGACTTTATATAATGATAAACAGGTCCATCTATCAAGAAGAACATATCACAATCCTAAATGTGTATCACCAGGCAGTACAGTCATAAAATATGCAAATAAAAAACTGATAGGACTGAAAAGAGAAATAGACAAATCTAAAGTTATAATTAGAGATTTCAATGTCTCCCTTTCAACAATTGCTAGAACTGGACAGAACATCAGCAAGGATAGAGAAGAACTCAATGCCACTATCAACTAGCAGAATCTAATGGACATTTATAAAATATTCTACCTAACAACAGCAGAATATACATTTTTTCAAATGGCCACAGAATACATACCAATAAAGACCATATACTGAGTATAAAATAAACTTCAAAAAATTTGAGAGAATTAAAATATATAGTGTTTGTTCTCTAATCACAATGGAACCAAAGTAGAAATTGAAAGTATAGAGAGGGTGGAAAATATCCAAACATTTGAAACTAAAGCATAAACTTCAAACAATCCATGAGTCAAAGTAGAAGTCTCAAGAAAATAAAAAATACATTTAACAAAATGATAATTAAAATATACCAAATTAGAATTTGTGAGATACTGCTAAACTGAGAGGGAAATTTATAGCACTAAATTCATACATTAGAAAAGAATAGTCTTAAATCAATAATCTAAGCTCCTGCCTTGAGAAGGTAGAGGAGGAAAAGCAAAATAAACCCAACATAAACACAAAAAGAAAATAATAAAGATATGGCAGAAATCAATGAAACTGAAAACATAAAACAGAGAAAAATCAATGGAATAAAGGACCACTTCTTTGAAAAGAAAATTTAAATCGACAAACCTTTAGTGATACTGACAAAGAAAAAGAGAAAATCACAAATGGTCAATGTTATAAATGAAATGGGTTATTAATACAATCTTCAAAAGGATAATAAAAGAATACTAGGAATAACTCTTTGCATATAAATTTGACAACTTAAAAGATATGGACCAATTCCTTGAAAAACACAAACTACTATAACTCACCCAATGTGAAATGGATAATTTGAATAGCCCTGTAACTATAAAGAAAATTGTAATTTAAAGACTCTCAAAAAAAAAAAAAATAGAATTCCAAGTCCACATGGTTTTCCTAGAAAGGTCTAGCAAACATTCCAAGAAGAATTAACATGTATATTATGCAATCTTTTGTCCCTTCTCCCCCCCGCCCCAAAGTGGCAAGAACACTTTCCAGTTCATTTTATGAAGTTAGTATTACCCTGTTACCAAAACCAGACCAAGGCAGTATACAATAAAGGAAACCACAGGCCGATATCCCTCATGAAAACAGATATAATAATCTTTAACAAATGGAATTCAACAATACGTCAAAAGAATTATCCATTAGGATCAAGTGAGGTTTATTTCAGAAAGACAAGACTGCTTCAATATGTAAAATCAATCATTGTAAGCCACCATAATAGAAAGTTAAAGAAAAAAAAATGTAAGATCATATCCATTAAGGCCAAAAAAGCACTTGACAAAATTCAATAATATAAAAACCTCTCAGGAAAGTGAAAATAAAGAACAGCTCACCTTAGAAAGGAACACCTACAAAAACCCTACAGCTAACATTACATGTAATGAATAAGACTGGATGCTTATCCCATAAGATCAGAAACAAGACAAGGATATCCACTTTTTACCATTCTCTACTCAATTATTCAAAATAGTATTAGAATTTCTAGTGTGTGCAATAGGTAATAAAGACAAGACACACAGACCGGACAGAAAAAAATTAAAATGTTCCCTATGTGGGTGATATTATTAGCTACTTAAGGAAATCTATAACACATCTCCTTGGACTAATGAGCGGGTTCCCCAAAATCACAGGATACAAAACTAACAAAAAAGTCTACATACTAGCAATGTATGTGTGGACACTGAAAGGCAGGAGGACTGCACTCCATTTCCAGGAAGACAGAATCTCTGACCATAAAGAAAAAAGTAGGTTTCCCTCAGCAGACCGCATGTTCAGTTCTAAAGAATACAGTAGTACCCCCTTGTCTACAGAGGATATGTTCCAAGATCCCAGTGGATGCCTGAAACTACAGATAGCACCAACCCCTATTTTACGCTGTGGTTTTCCCAATACATACACGCCAATGCTAAAGTTTAATTTCTAAATGAGGTGTGGTAAGAAATTAACAACAATGATTAATAATAAAATAAAACCATGACAACACTCTACTGTAATAAAAGTCTTGTGAATGTGAGCTTTCTCTTAAAAAATCTTGTGACATGTAATATTTTCAGACCTCAGTTCATCAGGGATAACTGAAGGGATGGAAAATGAAACTGCAGAGAGGGGAGATTCTAGGTGTGGGGGTGGGGTGGGGACATGGGGGGGTGTGCAATGGGAAGGTGAAGCTGGTTTTACTCTCAGCTGTGTCAGCCCTGACACTGGGAAGCCCCCTAAGTATCTGAAAACATCAGGGTAGTCAGGATGGAAGAGAGTCCTCTCTTCTTTCAAACATGATATATCACTTATCATAACAGCCACCAGGATTCCCGAGAAGCGTGGAAGAGGAGGCTTTCAGAATGGATCACTTCATTTCTGCAGAGACACATCCAGGAAAAGTTAGAGCTTAAAGGGGGACACATACCTGTGTGGATGGAGAAGCATATGGGTCAAGGACAACATGGAAGTTCACTCCCCGGAGGGTGACTGCTGTGATCAGAGTCCCTCCCTTCAGCTGAGAAGGTTAGAAGTTTTGAAGAGTTCGGTTTTGCCTCAAGCAACCCTCCTTCATTTTCTTCCTCCCAGAGTGAAGCTAGAATCTAGAAGCTTTCAGGGCTCTGTTAGGGAGCCAGGGGTGCTGAGAACTCTTGAACAGAATCTTCTCATTCTTGGGACAGCCTCAGGCATAGCCTGAAAACCTTTCCTCTTTCAGCCTGTTTGTGCCCCTCCCAGCCTCTAACCCACCACTGTCTCATAGATTAAAGATAATCCTCACCTCCATTTTACAGGTGTCCAAGTTGAGCCTTAGAGAAATAAAGCAAATTACCCAAGCAATTAGGCAAAGGACTCATTTCACTAGACCCCCCTCCTCCATGAGCTACCAGTGATAATGACTCTTATGTCACTATTTCTAAGCATCACCGGTGTGCCAGGCATGTGGCAAGGTGCTTCACTTTCCTTATTGCTTTTGTCTTTCAAAACATCTTTTGTGAGTAAGTGAGATGCTGCATTTTATAAGTAGAGAGGAGCAACAATGAGCGCTCACTCTTGGTGCCAGGCACTGCTCTAAACACTTTCCTGTGCACTGTCACTCAGTCTCCCCCCAAGTCCTGTGAAAATCAGTGCAAGTATCACTCATTTCAGAGACACAGGACTGAGGCTCAGAGACACCAGGTAGATTGTCTGCTAGGATGTAGCCGGACTGGGATTTGAACTGAGCGTTATTGTGGCTGTTCGGAATCTCCGGCAGTACAAGCGACTTCCCCAAGGAGACATGGCTAGGTGGTGTCAGATTGAAACTCCTGGCCAACAGGAAGCACAGGACCTTCCCACCAGCTATCCTGCCTGGAATAGGGGGCACGGATGCTCTGAGTCACATTCACAGGGTTCCCTCTCTCCATGCCAAGAGATGACTCTGCATGTCTATCCTCAGAAACTGGGTGCATGGAGACAGAACCCGCTTAGGTAGCATTAGGCCCATTCTGTCTGACAGAGCTGGGATCCAACTCTTCCAACTTTCTTCGCCAGTTTTTCTCTCTCTGCCTGTTACTTGCTGGCTGGAACCCGCCCTGACTCTCATTTTCTCCCTAGTCCCCCCACTGAAAATGCCAAATGCAACGTGGAGAGGGAGCTCAGGAAGGGAGAAGATCCTCAGTGAGTCCTGTCTGCCCTCCAGGAGAGGTAAAAGGAGCTGTGTGGGGATGAGGAGAGGGGTTCTGGGGAGTGGTTCTGGAGTTGTAGGGAAGGGGTAACCTAGCAACCACTAGCTCATGCAGTCACAAAGCAGACAGGCTTGCCCACAGAACCAAGGAGCCTTCTCGGTGACTGGTTCTTTTGCTCCTTTCTGCTCTGGCAGCAAGGGCTTCCTACCCACATTCTATAGCGGCGGGCACTTGCCTTCGGTGAGTCCAGGGACCTCTCCAGGGGAGAAAAGAAACACTGCAGCCAGACAGGAGCCTGGGTGGGGGATAGGGGTGGAGCCCAAGGGAGCTGAGTTGGAGAAATATAAGTTCTGTTTCATTACTGATCTGAGCATTCAGACCCCTCCTGCCTGGATGGCTGGGGGCCCAGAGGAAAAGGGAAGTGAGGATGAGGGCAGGGGCAGTGGGCTCAGCCTGTTCCAATCTGGATAAGGCAGGCCTGGCCTGCTCAGTCTCTCTTGACTTCTCTGCAGCAGCTATGGGTGTGATCCATTCATGGCTAATAAAATCAATTGAGTGGGTTCACGTCTAACATTTACAAAATGAAAGCCAAAAGTAGAAAGAAGATGTGAGTCTGCATCAAATGAAGCAAGGGTAAGTATGGCTTGGGGATCTCCTTGCTTCAGTTTCATATCCACAAACCTATGCTCATGCATGTGTTAATTGGGTCATGAGGCAAAAATGAGTTTCTTACTGTGATCATAGTCAAAAGCATTTTGAAAGTGTATATTATGAAAAATATCTTTTCCTACTGGCAGGTGGGTTTGGGGCTATCCTCAAGCCTGTGGCATCTAAGTGCTCTAGGGCACAGGACCCCCACCCTACCCTCATCCAAAGCTCCCTTAAAAGGAAGAACTCTTTCTCTTTTCAAGAAAGAGCCTTTGAATCAGAATGCCTGGTTCCTTGCTGGGTGACCCCAAAGAGTCTTCTCTTTCTCCACCTCAGAGAGTGTGACCCACCCTCCCCACCAAGTTTGGCCCTGGGAATTTCTGTGATTCTGAGGGTTAATTTGAAGAATGCACTGATTTTCTGTCCTAAACCCATTCCTGGCACCTGCAACCCCAGTACTTTGGAGATATATATATATATATATATATATTCAGGTCCAGAGATTTAGATTAATCACAATCCTTAGGTTTGACATCCATCGTCTTTCATCCATTTAATTTCATTAGTTAATAATATAGTGAACATGTGTAAATAATGTTGCAAACCAAGAACTAGAAAATCACCACCAACACATCTTGTCTCCTCCCTCCTTCCCCTCCCCTCAGAAGTAGCCACTAGTCACTTTTGTCATTAACATTTGTTTTTTCCTTGTTTTATCACGCTTATGATAATTTTTCTTGCTTTTGAACTTCATTTTTCAAAAGAATCTTAGGCTACATCAGGACAGTTCCTTGACTTGTAAGATGTATCTGCTGATAAGATGCATCAATGCACTGACTATAGCTGTGGTTCATTCATTTTCCTTGCAATACAATGTTCAATTGTCTGAATCACCACAGCTTGTTTATCCATTCTTCTGCCATTGAACATTTGGATTGTCACCATGTTTTTGCTTATTTGAACAATGTGAGTTTGAATGTTCTTGCAAATAGTCCCAGTTGCACATCTGCAAGAGTTTCTGTTGAGCATGTATCTGGCAGAGGAGTTGCTGCATGGTATGGCATGCACATGTTCAATTTTATAAGATGTTGTCATTTTCCCCCCAAAGTGTTCTGGCTTATACTCCCATCACCAGTCTATGAGAGCGACTGTCATCTGTCTTCTGCACTAGTATTAAGTGTACAAGTCTTTATTCCATTAAACCCTAAAATGACTACGGAGATGACTGAATTGTCCCAGGATCCACAGATAAGGTAAGGTCCCATGTGCACATCCTGCTGGCCAAGGAAGTGGGGTAGGGGTGGGAAGGAAGACAAAGGTAGCCTGGTGAACTCAGCAGAGGAAAGACTCAGCAGTTTTTCCTCACCTTTCATTGTCACCAACCAGGCCCCCAGCGGGGTTCTCAAGCCTGAGTTAGCAGGGGTCACAGCCTGGGGAAAGGGAGGCCATGGTGGCAGGGGGCAGGGGCACTGATTTCTGGGAGTGGCTTCCTCTGTTACTTGCAGGGGATGAGGGAGGCTTCGAATTGCTACTTTCTGAGGTTTGCTTTATTTCTTTAAGTCCCAAGTCTCTTAGTGATGAATCGAAGATGGAACAGGAAACTCAGGTGCCTGATCAGCAGGATCCTCCCAGTGTCCCAGGGCGGAAAGTCTTACTTAGCGTATCCAAAGCCCATCTGTTCTCCTCCAATGAGACTCCTTTCCAGGGCCACAAGGAGAAGGAAATACAGACACCTAGCAGGCAGGTGGTACCACCAGGCCCCAAGTAAACGCAGCTGAGCTTGGATCTTTGCGGGCCGACCTTGACCTCTCCCTCTAGGGGAAAAAGTACAGCATACTCAGAGCAGGGCGGGCTGCAGGGTGGAGGCCAGAGAACCTGAGACGGCTTGTCTCCAGTGAAGCCAAGCCAGTAAGAGCTTGATGCTTCCCTGCGGCGTCACAGCCTGATATCTCTTCCAGGAGGTGCCCCCACAGGAAAGACTTGGTGGTGTAGTCTGGTTTGGTACCGGCTTTGACTGGGCCAAGACTGACCCAAGGGCATGGGGGGAGGTGACCACCTGTAGTTGACTTCTCCTGGGTTGCCAACAGTTTGGCTTGGGGGCAGGCCCTTGCTTGTGTCAGCCCATGTATATATATAATGGGTCTTTGCTCCATCCGAGGTGTTTGGATGAGTAGGTGGGTCTGTGATTTCTGTCTCTGGCTTTAGAGATGGTTTCTGGGGAGAAACTGGGATCCTGGGAGATCCCATCTGCATTCTCTCAAATGGATCCTAGCTTCCTGCTAAGTTATTTTAGGAAGGCTGCCTTCTAAAATCTGGGGCCGGATTGTACCAATTTGGAAAGGACTCTCGGAGAGACCCAGCTTTGCGTGCCATGGGGTGGTATTGAGATACTAGAAAACAGGCACTGAGTTCTGAGCTCAGATGAGCACCACTATGGGGGCTCCATTACCTTCTTCTTGATCCTGTCTTTTAGTCCAAAGGCTGAGCTGAAGCCTGTGAAGAAGTGTGAGGACAATCCAAGGCATCGAGGGAATGACGGGCCACAGAAAGAATTGGTGATCCCAGGGATCATGAAGTTTGAGCTGACCCAAGAGGCACCAAAGACCCCTAAGACCAAAACCCCAGGCGCCTATCGCTTTGGCCGTCTCAGTCACCACTCCTTCTTCTCCCGACACCACCCCCACCCCCAACGTGTGATCCACATCAAAGGTAGGGCTGAGGTAGGCCAAAACCTGGGTGGGGTGGGGGGTGGGGAGTGTTCTTGAAAACTGGAAAGGGGGGAGGCCTCCTGCTTCCAGGTTGAGGTCCAGAGAGGATGGGGACTTGGTCAGGGTCACAGAGCTGTTTGGCCACTGCAGCACTTAGCCAAATCAAGACTTGCCTTGGGAGTTGGGAGGGGTGGGGAGCAGAATAAAAGTCTTAAGGGCAGACTGTGTGTGTGTGTGTGTGTGTGTGTGTAAAATATAGGATTTCCCTCCTTGCTGGATTCTCCCATTTTACAAATCAGACAAATGGATGACATTTTGCCCCAGCTGCTCTCTGTTCTCTAGCTTAGGCCATTTCATCCCTTCACCCATCCATCCATCAACCATTTATTGTATGTGAACAATAGTTCAGGTATTTTTTTAGGTCCTGGGGAATGACAGTGAATAAAACAGGCAGCCCCTGCCCTGATGGGGTTGAGATAGTGGGGGAGGCCAGGAAAGAGACCAGGTACCAGAGTGAGTCTCAAGGCTGGAGAGGAGAGACTGACCAACAACAAGACATTTGAGCAAAGCACTAAAGGAAGAGGCATGAGCCACATGGATATCGGGAAGAATGTCCCAGGTAGAGAGACAACAAGCATACAGGCCGTGAGGCTAGAGCATCTGGGCACCGTTGCAGGAATAGTGGGGATCGAGGGGGAGAAAGGAGAGCATCAGAGAGTACATGGGCCCTGCAGCATTTGACATGGAGTCGTCTTTCCAAGTCAAGTAGGAACCATTGGAAGGTTAAGAGCAAAGCAGTGACAGGAGCGACCTACTGCCCTCTGTGTGGACAGCCAGAAAGGCGGTAATGGAAATATTAGTGAATTTATTCCAGAGATATACAGAAGGTAAAGCCGGCAGGATTTGCTGGTCGATGAAAAATAAAGTATGAAGAAGAGAAATCAAGGCTGATGCCTAGCTTTTGGCCTGAGCAACTGCAGTTGCATTGACTGAGACAAATAAGCCTATGGAAGGAGCCAGTGGAAGGTGGGGAAGGGTCAGGAGTTTGGCTGGGACGTGGGAAACGAGAAGTGTGAGCTGCCTTTCAGACACCCAGGAGGAGGTGGAGAGTGGGCAGCTGGGTGTGGAGTTCGGGCAGAGGCAGGTGTGAGAGCCATTCAGAAGATGGTATTTGAGTGGACATGGCTGGAGAAGATCGTCCGGTATGTATGCACCAGAGATCCGTGCATCCAAGAGAGGAGAACCTGGGGACACAGCCCCGGTACCCCAAGGTGAGAGGTTACAGAGATGAGAAGGAAACAGCAGAGGAGAGGAGGAGGTGGCAGCGAGCTGGAGGGAACCCAAAAATTGAGGGGTCCTGGCACCAAAAGGGAAAGGGAGAGGAGGCGACCTTTCTGAGTCCAAACCAGGCTGCTCCTCCAGGCTTAACCCTCTAATAGGAATAGCACATCACACAGCCCTTCGCTCAGAAGGGCCCTCGCGTGCAAACTGCCTGCCACCACCTCCGAGCTGCCCTGCCCTGTGCCCTACACAGGCTGACAGGTGGTGTGAGGTTCATTGTAAGAGTCTAGTGAAATCTCACTCCCTGTGATCCGAGCCCTCTTATCACAGACTGTGTTTTAATGCCCCCAGCATGACCTCTGTGTGCTCATACCTGCATGTATTACCCCATCATAGAAAACGCAAAGGACTCAGAACTAGGGGCCCAAGGCACCTGGTTCTTTCACCTCTGCCTAATTTACTGCGTGACCCTGAGCAAGTCCCTCCCGCCTCCATTCTGAGTGCCCCTGGGGTGGACCATGCTGGCTGCAGATTTCCTCCCAGCGCTGCGGATCTAAGGGCTGTGGGTACTGGGAGAAGGGGATGTTGGGGCTCTCCCTGTACACTAGCCTCGACTGGTCTCCCAGAGTTCTTGGGGTCCACCTGGGCCACCTTCTCACACCTCTAACCCTTCACAGATCTCACCGGGAAGCCCGTCTGTGTCGTCAGGGACGAGTTCTCTTTGGCAACCTTACCCCGCTATCTGATGGGGATGCCCACCATCTATGGCCCCATTGGTGACCCACAGTCCAATAAGGAACCCCAGCTTTCTTCTGGAGGTACTTGAACCATACACCTTCCCCATGGGCAGCCCTGCTTGGGGGGGTGCCTGAGAAGGAAAGGGCTATTGTTTTTAGGTCAGTGGCTTATGGTGGGGTCCTCCATTTTCCCCCTCATTTCCCTGGGCACCTGCATCTGCATTAGTTCTCTCCCTGCGCACCCCCGCCCAGTGGCTAACAAATGCACCCCTGCTTGTTTTTGAGTTTCTTCTGTACCAAGCAGAAGACAAGCAGATTTGGACAACAGTCTTGTGACTGACAGCTGGAGAAGGGCATGATATTGGAAATATTTAGTAACTTGTAGTCTCAGGTACCAGCTTATCATCTCATCAGCATAGAGCGTGCTGGAGCTGTGTGCCAGGGGCCTCTGCTTTGGCAAGCCTTGCCCTTTCCATACTAGGGTGTGGGAAAGTGGGTAGGGTGGGGAGGAAGGGAGATCCTGGGGGGCAGGACAGTCCTGTGCATGCACAGGTTTGGAAGATGTGCTGTAGTGCTCCTTAATAACCACTCCAGCAGTAGTTCGGTATTTAGTAACAGCACTTTTCCTGAATCTCAGTCCAGCTTCAGAGCCCTAAAAGAGGCAACGCTATAATGAACAATATACAACCTGGTACAGTCTCCAAATAAACCCCAGGCCTTGCACATCGAGCCCTTCCAGCACTCACCACACCCACGCACTCCCAGCCAATGAAATATTCCTGCTCCATCTCTCAAGGACCCTGCCTCTGCTTCTCTCTTTAAGATGTAGGGTGGGCATGGGTTCCATCCCCTGGCCAGCCAGGGAGCAACCCACATGGCGCAGCAGACCTCTCCTGTCTCACCCGCTGCTCCCCTCAGCAGTGTATTTCAGTAGATCTGCCTGTTCTGTTCTCCACTCTGTCTCTGGTGAATCCTCTCACCCCACACACCTCTGGCCTGTACCCCAGTTCTTGTATGCATAAATAATACTTTTTAAAAAAAAGATGTAGGGTACAAAGCTGGGGAGGGGAGCAGGCCTCCCAACACCCTGCACCACAGGGAGGGCAATGGGGAGAACCCAGATGTGGGCCAGCGGGATCTTGTTCCCTCCTCCCAGAGGCATGGAAGAAGGAGTTGAAGGACCTGGCCTCCCGGGTGGCCATCTTCACCAAGGAGAATGAGCTGAAGGACAAGGAGGTGGGTGCTGAACAGAGGAGCTGCCTGGGAAGAGAGGAAATGGATCCATTTCCTGTCCCAAATCCTTCCGAGTCAGTGGGACCTAATCAGTCCTAGAGCACAGGGTCATATGAGGCGCTGTTGGCACGGGAGGAGGGGCCCGGGAACACTTAAGGGAGAGGGTTGCAGTGAGGGCTCAGGAGGAGAGCATGTTCCTAGGGGAGACATCCCAAAAAGAGTGGGAGGTCAGCTAGTGGAAGGGGCGGCGCTCCCAGTAGAGGCGTGCAGCCCAAATCTCAGGGGCTGAAAAGTACAGGACAGCTTGAGATGGGGGGTGAGGGGGCAGGCGGCGGGCATTGGTTGGAGAAAAGGTGAGAGGGGACCAACTTTGAGTGTGGGCAAGAGGAGCTTGTGTTTCCCTCTGAACTTAGTATCTGTTCTCATAAGGAGTGGAGAATCACTGACTCAAGCAGGGTGGGGGTGATCGCATGGGGCCTTTTGCTGATAACCCAGTAAAAATAGTTGGGAGGCAGACTGCAGGGAGTTGGAATTGGTCCTGGGACAGGCCCAGCGCTGTGTGGCTGAGTAGGGTCCTGCCCCTGCCTGAGCAGCAGAGTGCTCACCCCTGCTCGGCAGCTGATTCCCTGCAGAGCTCAGCTTAGCTGCCTGGACCTCAGTTTTCTTATCTTTAAAATGGGCGGAAGGATACTTACTACCAGTCTTAACTGGAATTGCAGGGGCTGGGGACCCCAGGTCTCGTGTCCACAGTCCTGGTTTGGGAGGGTTTCCCAGGGCAAAGAAAAGATGCCAAGCTGTGGGGGATAAAACTGGGGGCAGCTGAACTACGAATTAAGATATGTGGGGGTCCTGACACAGGATATTGTTTGCAAATCCCTGAGGGACTGGGGGAAGGGGAGGGGCAGCAGGGCATGTCTGCCTAAGAGGAAGCATGAAGACCACCCAAGGAGCACTAGAACAGCCAAATGCAATGAAATTTCAGGAGAAAGAGGGAGACGATAGAACGATGAACTGGGGAGAGGGTCTAGGATGGGGTGGGGTGGGGCTGGTCTAGTCAACGTTCTGGATCCTCGCAATGTTTTGATGCTGGGATTCTAGGAGAAGAGGCAGTGATGGGCGTCCTAGGGTGTGACCCACCACCCCTCCTTTCCCCTCCCCTCCCCTCCCTTCCCCTCCCTCCCCTCCTCTCCCCTCCCCTCCCCTCCCCTCCCCTCCCCTCCCCTCCCCTCCCCTCCCCTCCCCTCCCCTCCCCTCCCCTCCCCTCCCCTGCTTTTCCTCTCCTTACCTCTCCTCCCTTGTGTCTGTCTCTGCCTGTCTCTCTCTCTCTGCCTAGAGTGTCAGGACACTTACGTCCCAGCAGAAGGAAGAGCCCCAGCGGAAACAGGGGGCAAAGTACTCAGCTGAGACAGGGAGGCTCATCCCCACTTCCACCAGAGCCATAGGCCGCCACGCCTCCCGCCAGGGTCGAAGGAACTATGCTTCAGGCAAGGACAGAGGAGTCCAGACCATCCTGCAGGATCAGGAGCTGTTGGTAAGGCCCAGGGAAAGCCGACGGCAGGCCCAGCAGAGGCCCTGGTCTGAGGACGACCAGGTGGTACCTGCCCCCAGGCCCGTAGCAATCCCCACTAGGATTCTTCAGACTACTTTTAAGTATGGCCTCTCCCAGGGGTGCTTGCATCTGATCTGAACACTCCAGACCTAGGAGCCAGGACTCTGGGTTCCAGTCTCCTGCTGCCTCCAGGTTTCTGTTAAGCTTTCCCTCCCTGTCAAGTCCTTCCCTCTCAGGGCCTTAGTTCCAGGATCTATCCAAATTGGGAGCATGAACAAGTCATCATGAAGGTCTGCTCGAGCTATGGCATTTGATGAGCTAATGAAGGCAGCTACAATAGTGGAATGACAAGCATGGAGATGAAGGTCCTGCCCACTGTGTCCTCAAAGCACTCCCGGGGACCTGTGCCCCGCAGCCTGGTCTCCTCATACTCCGAAAGGGTCTGATCTATGCTACGGCAAAGCAAAAAGACCACCTTTTCCACATTCAAGTTTCCCCTTCCCGGCCTGAGATGAGTCCATGTCTTCTTCAGTGGGTTACGGCACTGAGATATCTGTGTCCTCCAGGGAAGGCAGACACTGAGACAGCATCTGGGCACCTTCCCTGTGACCAGCACTTTCAAGCCTGTGCTCCCTTTGGAGTCCAGGGAAGTGAATAGAATAGACAGGGCCTGAGATCCTCATGGCACAATGGGGAGGCTGAGGCCCTGCCAGGTGACATTCTGTGGCCCAGGTCCCCAGAGGGAGCAGCAGAGCTGGGACTAGAACACAGTACTTTCTCCACCTTAGGGCGGCCTCACCTTGCCTGGAATTAGGTTCTCGGGTCCCGTGGGGAGGGGGCACAGGGCAGGTAAGTTGGATTGGGAGAATGGAGAAGGGCTCAGGGATAGACAGGGGAGGGGGTCACTGCAGTGAGTATATACATGGGGGTGAGGGTGGGTGCCCAAGTGGCATAAGCCTGGGGAGCAGCCTGCCCAGTTTCCACTCTGCCAAGGATGCAGAGACTTGAGGGGACTGACAAGCCCCTTCAAGTCCTGGGAAGAATAACCTGCCAAGCACTGAGGGGTTCCCACTTTCCTAGGACTCCAGGGGCTACACCTCCCACCACGGGTGCCAACCTCAGCCCACCGTAGCCATGGCCGCCGCCTGCAACCCTGCGTAGGGATCTCCCATAGCCCATCCGAGACAGAGCTGGATCTTTCTTTTCTTGACTGGAGAATGAAGGGGGGGAAAAATCCAGAAGTAACAAAGATGCCAAAGGCTGAGAAAGCTGGGAGCGAAGTGTACGAGTTGCTCTGCAAGAAGGAGCCCCCAGCTGGGCGGTTTGCAGTACCAGCCAGGCCTGACCTTCAGGCTACCCCCTGGGATCACCTCACCTCTTTTCTAATGTCTCCAGACTCTGGGAGCTCCAGGGTGGGGAGGAAGCCCGTGGGGTCCCTGAAGCTCCCACACCAAGGACCCAGGGATTCAAGACTCGGTGCGTCTCCAAGCAACTGATTGGCCAGCTCTGACTTTGCCTTCCCAGTGAAGGAATTGGGGTACAACCCTTCCAAGTGGGGTGAGGGGCCCACCTATATGATTCTGAGGCTTAGTTCTGCCACAATTTCCTTGTGAGTCATCCTCCCATGGTCTTGAATTCCTCATCTGTCCAGTGAGGAGCTTCCTCCAGAGTTCTCTGGAGAGAAGGTCCCCTGTAAAGTGTAAAGAACCATGGAGAGAGGGGGACCATGGGCCACCGTGGGGGCCAATGTGACCAAGCAGTGGCTGTGGGAGGCCACTCGGGAGGGCGGAGAGGGTCTGTGCTGCGGCTGGAAGGTACCATCTGGGCACGCTGACCAGGCCCTCTGCCCACAGGTCTTGGAGCTCCTGTGTCAGATCTTACAGACAGACTCCTTGAGTTCTATCCAGTTCTGGCTACTCTACGCTCCACCAAAGGGTGAGAACACAGCCATCCTGGGGTGCCTGGGTCCTTTTCTCACTGGAGATGGCTGAGGGAGGGCCTCCTCCTCTATCTCTGCCAATATGGATGTCACCTGGCTCCCACCCCAGGGCCCTCCACCTGGGATTCTTCTCCTTTCTCCTTTTGGGAGTCCCAAACTAACCTTTTCCAGCCGGACAATCACACCGCTTCCTCCTCTCCATGCCACAGTAAGACTTACATGAGGAGGACCCCTCCTTCATGCTAACTGCACGCAGGCCCCAGCACCCAGGAGGAAAAAATCCAAAGACTATACTCAGCAGACTCAGTCCTCACCCAGCACTGTGGGAAATGCACACATAGATACAAAACACACACACACACACACACGTATATGCACATGAACACACATGGACACACACGCAGACACGGGACAGTGCGTGTGTCTAAGTGGGAGGGTGAGGAGTGATGAGGGCCGGAGAGCTGGAGAAGGCTTCCCAGAGGGGAAAGCCAGGGGAGAAGGGAAGAGAAGGGAGGAGAGAAGCTTTCCAGGGTGGGTGGGGAGTAAGTGAGAGGGAGCAGTGGGCCAGAGGGTGTTAAGAACAGGGTGCACAGGTGCTTGTATAGCAAGAGTGAGGAGCAGAAGCACTGGATGCTCTGTACACACAGGCCAGGAGGGAAGTAAGGCCCTTCTTACCCACTACAGGGACCTGTGCCAGCTGGTTAGAGCAAGCTGCCCTGGGCCAGGGTTGGCGGGAAGCCCTGACCCCTGCTTCTTGCCTGTTTCATCTAGGGAGGGGATGGGGGCCTTGGTCTTGCCGCTGAGGACTTGTCCTGGCTGTCTTACAGAGAAAGACCTAGCACTGGGGCTCCTGCAGACAGCGGTGGCTCAGCTCCTACCCGAGCCATTACTTTCCATACCAGCAGAAAAACTGCTCGACCAACTCCAAGAAGTACAAGAATTACAAGAGAAACAACTACCACCACCCTCCAGGTGCGCTTGATCGCCTTCATCTGCCCTTCTGTATCCAGAACTGCCCCCTCATGTTCAGCCGCCTGTCCTCCCAAGTGAGGTCAGTGGGTCCAGAGAAGTGAGCCTGGTGCTAGCCACAGCCTGAGCTGGCTGAGCTGGCCCCAAGGAAGAGGCCCAGCCCCTTGCAGGGGACCTTCCACTTCTGTCTGTACTCTCTGAAGGTCGCTTTGCAAACCAGACCAGACTGCTGGCTGTGGGAATGCCTCAGGAGCTGTCTCTTGTAGCCAAGAGACCATCCAGGTCTGAATTACCCCATCTAGTCCTCCAGAAGCTCCTGGTCTTTGGGAAGACAAAAATAGGGGTGAAATGCTAAAACAGGGAGGCAGAAGGACCTTTCTGTCAGCATTAAGTCTGATGGAGAAAGAGAAAGGGTTCAGGAAGGCCCCACAAAGCAGGTGAGTAGGACCTGAATGTTAGTAATGGAACCAGAAATATTGAACACCAGGTACTGTATATCTTTCTGGTCCACAACCACTCACAGAAGCAGTATGATCTCCATTTTACAGATGACAAAACTGAGGCTCGGGGAAAGTTGAATGACTACTCACAGTTATCCTGTTGGTCAGCAGGAGAGCCATGCCCAGCAGCACTCAGATTTACCAGAGCTCTTATTAAAAATGCAGAATCCTAGAGATTCAAACCCAGCAGGGTGGGAATGAACATAGAGAATGTGTAGTTTTAATAATCACCTAGGTATTTCTGATAGACTTGTGGAACTCTGCAGGGTTGGATAGGATTTGAAGTTGAAGAGAGGGGGTAGGGAAATTCAGAAAAGGAGGTTGGCTGTGTGCATACTCTAGGGAATGTTGAGTTTGGGATGGTTGGAATATGGGTGGGTTTGATGAGAAGGGACTGGGTGCTCAGACTTGAAGGTTTGATTTCTTGCTCTCGTCTTGAATTTGGTTTTCTTTTCCATTTGGAGAGACCAGGGGAGACTCATGAGGAAGGCAGGCCCCACTGTGAGCTTGGGCAAGCCACCTCCCACCTTTGAACCTCAGTTTCACCTTCCCAAAACCCCTCTCCCAGAGTTGGAGACAGGAAAAATGATACTGGCTGCAGAGAAGGGCTTGCTGAAGTAGAAAGCTGATACAAGATGGAAGAGCATTATTCGTGCGTGTAAGACTTTCCCTAGGGCAGCAGAGGTCCTGGTCTCCACTCAAACAAGCAGGCTTCCTATTTTAGAGGAAGTAGCAGGCAGGTGAGGGTCTGGGGCAGGCAGGTCCAGGGATCTCCCTACAGCAACTGGGACAGCAAGGCCTTGGTTCCCTGTGGCTGCCGCAGGAAATGGAGTTACAGTTGCCAGGGTCCTGGCTGGGGCTGTGCCAGCCAGGAAAGAGACTTGCTGGCTCTCCAGGAAGGGTGATAACCTGCCTCTCCCAAGAGTGCCTTCCCTCCACTCCCTGCCCATCCTGCTATTCCGCTGTCATGTGCTCCAGCCTGACCTTCCCAGCCTCTTGTTTGTGTTGGTTATAGTCAATCCCTGAAGAAGATGAAGTCACCACCGGTACCAAAAAGCGAGAAACCAGGTAAGTCCACGCAGCAGGTCATGCTGGGGGCACCAAGGCTCATCCAGATTGGACTTCTCGAGGGATTCAAGTCACCCTAGAAATGGGTCTCTGCCCAAGAAAGTCTGGTTTCATCTGTCCACCCTTCCATCCACCCACCCATCCATCCATCCATCCATCCATTCACTCATTCACCCCACACATGCTTTTTTAGCAGTTGTATGTTAGGCTCTGGGCATCTGAGGGAAAATTCAGACAATCCCAGCTGTGGAGGAGCTTGTATGAAGAACTTACATCTAGTGAGGAGTAGTGCAGACAATAAATAAAAACATCTGAGAGGCATAAGTGCCTTCAAGCAGGTGATATGAGAAATAGCAATAAAAAAACAGACAGTAGGAACTACCAGCAGGTGGGAAGAGGCCTCCAAGAGCCGAGTGACAGCAAGGCCCCAGGCCTACACAGGTCTGGAGAGAAACTAGAAGGAGGGCAGCCCCTCTTCCCCCGCTGTGCTGGTGAAAGAGCAAGTAGGCCAGGATGGGGACTGGGGTACTCATGGTTTGGGGAAAGTAGTAAGAAATGAGATGAGGCAGGTGGCCTGTGACAAAGGCCAGGATATGGTTCTTACACTGTGTCTGGGGTGCACTGAAGGGTTTATAAGCAGGATGTGGGGGACCCCTATGGCTCCTGTGTGAAGATAGACTGTTACGGGACAGGAGGGCATAGGGGAGAAGGGGGGAGGCTGTTGTATGAAGCCAGTGCCTGAGACCAGGTCAGGGGTCGGGGGTTGAGGTGAGAGAAGAGGACAGATATTTTGGGGGTATGTTATTCTCCCCCAGACTAGACCTAAGTGCCTGACTGAGTGTCTAACACGAGGGCACTGCATAGACATTTGTTACCTGGGTGTAGAAAGGACAGAGAGTGGTGGTGAAGATCAGAGATGGGAGTTCACCCCTCTCCGGTTACCAGCAGAGCCCAGGGCCAGACTGAGCTTGAAAAGGCTCACCCATACCAGCTCAGGGCCTGTGGCGGCATGGGGTACTCCCGGGGAGGGGCCCAGACGCCCTCATCCTCTCCTGTCTGCTGTCTCCCTTTTTTCAGAATATATTGGGAAAGCGCAAGTTCTCCAGGTGCATTCAAGCGAGAACACAGAGGAGAAAGTGTTGATGCCCAAAGCAGAGGGCTGAAGACTTTTAAGCAAGTGGAGCACTTTGCTACAACGATGAATTGGGCTTCGGGGTTATCCCGATCTCGACGAAAATACCGCATTGTCTATCACATAGAGCCGATTAAAATACAGTCTCCTCTTTGAGAGGCCAGTTCCACTTTCCTATCTGCAACAGCTATGTGCTTGGGGTCATTTATTCCAAGAGAGGGGATGAGATATTCTGAACGATCCCCATTCATTTGAAGAGAATCCAAACCCCACTGTTCATGTGCAGTTGACCTGCTTCTTTTATGCTCCAGAGAACTGAAGGGTGGATGGTAGCTGGGGCAGCCTGAGAAAGGGGTTCTGCACTCCTTGGGCCCAGACACAAGAGTTCTGGTTATAGATGAGGTTGGGAACTCAAAGCTTCCTCAGGAAAATCATCAATCTTCAATCACCAATTACTGAGCCCTAGCCCCGCCGCCACCCCACTCCAACTGACTTAGGTAGCAGGGATGATGAACACTATGAGCTGTTCTGCATCCATTACCTGAGGTGCTGATTTCATGCTCCTAAGAGCTCTATAAGGTAAAATATTAATGTCACACGGTAGAAGGCAGAGCCAGGATCCCAACTCAACATGTTTCATTCTAGAATTCCTGCTCTGTTTCAACATCCTCTACTGATTTACAAACAGCAAACCTTACTAATATTTGTAGTTGCATTTCTGAAAAGCATAAGGGTTATCCAAAAAATGGTGCCTGGCAAAATCCAGAAGGAAAGGGGCATTTTATAAATGAGACCCAGGTGCAGCTAGGGGTGTCCTATCCTTTAAGATCGAGGACTTGACCCTCTGGAAGTCCAATGTCTTCCTTGAGAATTGCCTGGAAAGGTAGGGGGCATGCAGTGGGGAGGCACTGAGGTCAATGTCAAGGTCGCTTATGACTCTGAGTGCCTACTTCTGGCAGTTCAGCCCATGGATGGCAACTCTATTCTATGCACGCAGCACCGCACAGCAGTTCAGATGTATTCAGTCTCTCCGGGTTTTCTCAAAGACCCGGTTTATGCAAAACTTTTCTGTGCATCAGGCTTCAGTCCAGATCAGGGGCTGGATAGGGATTTGCTGTGAACCTAGCTAATAGCTTCACCACAGTCAATATTAAGTCATTTTGTTTTTAAAAGTCCCTGGCCACTGTCCCACTGGGGGATGTTTCCCGGACGGCAGCATCTCTTACATCAACTGTGTCCCTTGCCATCTTGCTGCCCCCAGTTTACCCCGGAAAACCCACATTTCCTTTTTTCCATTTTTTGTATTGTGGTAAAATCAACACAACATGGAATTAACCATTGTAACCATTTTTAACTGTACAGATCAGTGATACTAAGTGCATTTGTATTTCTGCAATCGTCACAACCATCTGGCCACAGAATTATTTTCATCTTGCAAAATGGAAACTTTAGACTCATTCATCAATAACTCTACATCCCCTCTGCTCCCAGGCGCTGGCAACACAGCTCTGCTTTCTCCTTATGGATCTGACTGCTGTGGAGACCTTATGTAAGAGCAGTCTTACTGCATTTGTCCTTTTGTGCCTGGCTCACCTTACTTAGCATAATGTCCTAAAGGCTCATCAACAGCTGGTGTACGAATTCCCACCTACATTTATTATTTTTGTCCATGAAGCACTTCAGCTTCCTCTAGTCCCTGCTCCTAAATCCTCCAGACCCACCTTCGTTGTAAAAACTCCTCAAGGGGCTGAGTCTAAGGTCTGTTTGCGGAATAAGGTCCTTGCCCCTTGGCAGTTAGAGTTGTAATAACATCCCACCTCCTAAGAATTCTTTTCAAAAATCCATGCAGTAAAAATTCCTAGAAGATACCTGCTTCCAGAACAAATCATACTTGGCATGAAAACCCTGATCCTTTAGGTCATCCAAACTCACTTTTCCCAGAAATAAAGCTGTGAGGTTAACACTTGCCACTGAAGATTCTGAAAATTTTCTTATTCCACAGAGTAGACCTCTCTTCAAAGTTGCTTAACCCAGCCTTCAAATTTATTTTGCTTTCCTGTCTCATATTTGCTTTTGCAAATTCCTACAAAATGTTCGCGTCATTGCTTGGCCTCTGCACCCACTGGCATTGTACTTAGAGACAAAGCTTCCTGGGCCTGGCTCTTTGCCCAGTATTTGAGGGTAGATTGTGCACAGATCATTCTCAGCAACCCTGCAGTCTATCAAGAAAGACAAGAGGACGTAGCTGAACCATGTACTCATAAAAACACTGTGGAAATAAACACTGTGACGCGCACATGGGGAATCTGTATCGCTAAAACATGAGCAGCAGAGCTAAGGTATATGACCTGGCCTGATTCTGTTCTCACTCAGCTCATAGGTAGCCCAAAGGGCAGGCATAGCTATTCACAATCTACTGGTAGGAAACTGGAATAGAACAATAGAAACATCAAAGTTCACATAGCCCCTAAGTAATTGTTGCAAGCCCAGTGCAGTCAGACTCCTCCTCCAGTGGTCTCTTCATTCTGTTAGATCTCGCAGGCCACACCCCAAAGCCCATTCATCCCCAGATGAAAGAAATGGACCCTTCACCTTCTTTTCCTCCCGATTCCTCTTCCCTGATCACTTGGATATGGAACAAGACAAGGTTTGCCCTGACTCCCTGGTCATCTTCAAAGTTCCCCAACTGGCCTGCATCCTCTTTCTTCCTTTCAAAGTATCACTGCTGAGTCCTAGAGGGATAGCCAGTTGGGGCAGTTGGAAGATTCCATCTCACGAAGCACCAAAGTCGCAACTGGTCTTTCTGGAAACGTGAGTAGTGTTGGGCCTGACTTCCTCCTCATTTACACTCACCTGCTGTGCCTGAAAACCCTGTCTGGGTCAGAGGCCAGGCTACTGGGCACTGACCTCTGAGGTCTATTTGGCTTTGCAGAGTCTCTGTGCTCTGCTTAACAGTGCTCCCTGTCACAGCAGCATGGCCTGCATCTGGGCATCAAGATGACTTCTCCTGGGTGTCAACATGCCACTGTTCCTTCCTGGTCATTCCTACGTTTTCTTTTTTAAAAAGATTCATTTATGCATACAAGAACTGGGGTGTAAGTCAGAGGTACAGAGGTCAGGGAATTCACCAAAGACAAAGTGGGGAGCAGAACAGGCAGATCTACTGAAATACACTACTGAGGGGAGCAGCAGATGAGAGAGGAGAGGTCTACTGTGCCTTTCCTTGGCCAGCTAGGATCAAACTAGTGCTGCAGTGGTTGCAATAGCTTGATAGAGCTGTCTTTAACCCCTGCGCAATCAGGGAGGCCCTATTCCTAAGTTTTCTCTGACTCCTAGTGCTGGAATTCCTCTTCTCCCTACTCTCTGCTTCTCGCCTAAAGCATAGCATAGATTCCCCCTTCCAATCTTCTCCCCTATAGCTCTAAGTCATCCTTGGAATGTAGTCTCCTTAATCTCTATGGTAGTTATTGTTTGGGGCTGCCCAAAGAGTTCCCCATCCTTCTTCTGCCCCATTAGTGCACCCCCTCCCTTGGGCACAGGGACTGGTTCAGGGGTAGGATAAGCATGTGACTCAAGCCGGGCCAATCACTGTCCTAGGGATTTCTTTTGTGGGGGGAGAGGAACATGAAGAACTGTTGGTGTTTGAGAGGATGCCATCATTGGTCATCATCACTCCATGAAGACCAAGCCCTGGTCACACGTGATGCCCCTGATTCTGCCCCATCCTCCTCCATTATGTGAGACAAATTACTTCTTAATCTAATCGCTGACTTTTGTGCATTTCTAAATAAAATTAACCATCTTACCCATTTTTAAGCGTATAGTTCAATAGTAAATACATCCATATTGTTGGGCTACCCTCACCACCATCTGTCTCTACAGAACTCTCTTTATCTTGCAAATCTGAAGCTCTGTACCTGTTAAGCAATAATTCTCCATTCCCTCTATCCCTAGCCTCTGGCCACTTCTACCTTCCATCTCTTGACTATTCTAGGTATCTCATATAAGAATCACATATATTTGCATTTTTGTGACTGGCTTATCTTATTAAGCATAACGTCCTCAAGATTCATCCAACTTGTTGCATATGTCAGAATTTTCTTCCTTTTCAAGGCTGAATAATCTGTTGCATGTGCATGCTACATTTTTGTTTATTTATCCATTGATAGGTATTTGGGTTTTTTCAGGTTTTTATTCCCCTCCTATTGTGAATAATGCTGCTATGAACACACATGTGTAAAAGTAGTTGAATTTTATGTCATGTGTGAACAAAAGGATCCCGAATAATCTAAGTGGAGACCCCAAAATTAGAATTCAGGATCATCAGACTCCAGAGTCACTGATAAGAGCCCTTGTATCCACTAACTCTGCCCCACTGTTGTTTTTGTCCTTGGTTTCTTTTCTTACTTTCTTACTCTTCTATTCTCTTACTTTCTTGCTGCTCCTTTTCAAATCATTCTCTTGCCTTGCCTGGACATTGATCTCATTTTTCAAAGAGCTCAAGTTATCTTCAGTTTCTTGAGAGAGCAAAACATTTCTTATCCAATATTGTCTTCTGTTTCCTGCATGTCCTCTTTTAGCATGTATATTTCATCTTTCCCTTGCATAGGTAACCTGTGAGGTTTTGCACAGGGACCATGGAGGTTTCTTTTATTTTTTATTATTTTGGACCTGGAACCCTTCTTGTCAATAGTTTCCTATTCTCCTATTCTCACAGAGGGCTTCTTCATTCTCTCTATTTACATGCCCCCTGCCTGCCGCCCACCCCCCCACCCCCTCCCCCTTTCCCTTTCTAGCTGTTTAGGACAGAGGGGTTGAGAGATGGCTGGGGCCTGGGAAACCAGCAAATGAATTAGAGCTCTGTTCTCTTCATTTGTAATTTCATTAAAAATTTTGACCAGTTTTAGATTGAAAGAAAAAAAATGTGAAAATAACACAGAGAATTTCCATATAGGGGAAACATCCAGTTTCCCCTATTATTATTTTTTTTTAATACAGAGCTTTGTTGAAATCATTCACAGGCTATAAAATCCACCTAAAGTGTACAGTCAATGGTTTTTAGTATTCAAGAGTCATGCTTCACAATTAATTCCAGGACATTTTCATCACTCCAAAAAGAAACTCCTACACTCATTAGCAGTCACTATTTCCCTCTAAAGCCCCTACCTCCTCCTTAT